CAGCTGTTAAGTGTGCTTCCCCATTGATTTTGCTTGTCAGAAAATCAGAAAAGGTGATGACATGCGCCCAGGACACTGCAAGTGTCATAAACACAGTCCAGTTGCCAAGAGGCCAAATTTTGATCACATGACCATGAGCATGCTGCAAAGGGTCGTAAGTGTGGTAAAACAGTCATAACTCACTTTTTTCAGTGCCACTGTGACTTTGAATGGTCACTAAACAAATGGCTGTAAGTTGAGGACTACCTGTGCAGAGTAAGTAATTTGTTATTGTTCAGAAAAACCACTGTGTTAGTGGTCAAGAAGTTAGGAATCAATGAGAAATTGAATACAAGATAACTACTAAAATAAAATCATTGAAAAGAAATTGGTGCTGCATGAAGAACTGGGTAGATTTTAATAACCACAAAGGGCCTTTCAAATCTTCACTATCTAAACGCCAAAGTGAATCCATACTGTAAAGCAGGGACTCCAAACTTGGCAACTTTAAGACTTGTGGACTTCAACTCCCAGAATTCTTCAACAGCCTGACCGAGAAATTCTGGGAGTTGAAGTCCATAAGTCTTAAAGTTGCCACGTTTGGAGACCCCTGTTCTAAAGCATTGAAACCATTTTTATCAATACAAATATACTAAGTGGAGTATAAAAAATATAATATCGTTGCTACCTTCTCATAATTGTATTGCAGAAGAGCAAATTTTCTGTCAGGTGACAATATTGCCTGAGAACTATTGAAACTGTCCTGTAGATAAAAGAAAATAAATTAGCAATAAAACACTCTGTGTAAGGAAGGAAATATTCAATACAGATCTCTTTTGAACTGATGAAGCAGTGTTTTTTTTTAAAAAAACGTACTAATGTGTCATTTGATAAGATTATAGACTCTCTTCCATCATCGATGTTGTACAGAAAAACATTGTTCTGATTTGTGTAGACATACTCATGACCTAAAAAAAGAAGAGGAAAACATTTAGTGCCAATAAACAAAATCTTCTCTCTAAACAACACTCCCCCACCCAAACTCAATGAAATCCTGAATTATTTATTAAGTTCATTGTCATAACAATCTATTTATCATGTATGAATTCAAAGAAGTTAGAGAACACTTTATTTTTAAATTGACTATTATATGGTTGGAGAATAATCTACACAAATGAGTTCTGGCACCCCATGTTTATGAAGTAGAACTTATTAAAAATGAAGTGGGGGATGGTGGGGTAACAATGATTTCATTAGTTGGATAGAACACATCCCATCTACAGTAAAGGGAGTATTTAGAGATGTCGGCTTAGTCTATAACCATCATATACTGATTTATTTACAACATTTACACCCTAACAATAAGTTAAACACCAAGAACTGAGCTTATAATAATCAAAATTAAAATGTTAAAAGTCACCCTGCCCTTCACCCAGCCCCAGTTGCAACAGCTTGGTGGAACTGCCAGGTTTTCATTTCCTTCCAGAATGTTAAGCAGATGGATGTGACACAGATCTCAAGGGGGAGAATGCTCCAAAGAATCATGAGAAAACCTGTCTCTGGGTTCTTCCTGCTTTCCCAATCACTCAGAGGGAACAGACCCATAACATCCCTTCCATAGTTAATCAAACAGTGCAGGAGTTGCTCAGACAGTTCTATTTGGAAGAGATGATCATATAGGTAGCCTGGACCAAAGCAATCCAAGGCTTCACAGATCAATAGAGAACTCTGAATTTACTTGCGAACGTATTGGTAAGTAATATACTGATTGCAGTATAGGGATTCCATTGTTGAAAGCAACTCTCAAATGCCAGAAACTATTACAATTTCTGGATAATCTTCAAACGCAGTCCAGTATATAATAAGAGTATATATATCACTGTTGCTAGGGCTTCTCACTGAAAAAAGGGATACAGTAAAAATTGGATAAAAACTCATCACAAGGCTGTCAGGCCAATAAGAGGCAAAACAGTGTTCAATTTTCTCAAATATTTCTTAGATGAATTTAGCCATGTTAGCGATTGGTTAGCTGATCCACGACATAAAGCTTTTAACAAAGAATGTACGTTTTTGAATGTGTAAACAAATCTTGTGAAACTGTGATGAATAATGCTCCCAAAAATTGTGTGGTTGGACACAACTCTCATGCTTTGTCCAACATACATTTATAAAAAATGAAACAGCTGTGAGGCATTCCAAAAGCTTAGGATCATTACCTGACATCCACCGCAGATTATACGATTTGTACTGAAATTCATCAGTCAGATAATCCTCTAAAGAAAATTTTCTACGGATATCGGAATCTGTTAACAAAAGAAGAAAAAAAAGAGTAAGGTTCACCCTGAAGGCTGTTATCACCCTATTCTAGTGGAATGGGACAACTCGCCATGGCTGACTCACCACGGCTAATTCACTACAGGACAAATCACCACAACTAACTTGCCATGGGACAACTCGCCATGGGACAATTTAACAATTCAATGTAATTATTTAAAATAATTAATTGCATCCTTTCTTTAATGATTCTATTCCACAATTTCTTTGATATTAGTGTAACTCATGTCCCGCAGTAACACTGAATTATCTTTCTTCCATTTGATGTTTCTGAAATAATAAAGCATTTAATCTCTTTATGCTGCTTTATCAATCTGAAGGTGGCTTTTCACTCAATTTCCTATGAGAGGCTTTGCTAAAAATTAGCAGCTTCATCAATTATATGGATCATCCCCTCTTCCAGATGACTGTTACTTTATGAAAGTTTCGTTCTATATGTTATTTTTTTTATATAGAATTTTTATTGATTTTTTCATACATCCAGTAGTACTTGTTCAACAAATGTGTTGTCTGAGTTTTACATTCACTAATACAAATTTAATTCCTAATCCTTTATTCTTTTCTCTAGCCATTGATAAAATAAGTCCCAAGTTTGATAATATTTTTTTCTTTTTTTTCTTTCAATCTCACAGTAAGACCGTCTATATCCGCACATTCTAAAATTTCTTTTAATTATTTCTTCATTTTTCTAGTATTGTACAAATACAGTTCTTGCCACTGTTATTACATGTAAAATCAAATGTATGCTTTGTTTATCACTCTTTTTTGGGAATATACCTAATAAAAAATGTTCAGGTTTAAAATCTACATGTTTTCCCAACATCTTTTCTAGCCAATGTATTTTTATCCAATATGTATTTTTATCCAATACCTCTTTGCTTTAGCACATGTCCACCAAACATGGTAATAAGTACCTGACTTGTGTTTACATTTCCAACATCTACCTGACACGTTTTTAAACATTTTTGCTAATCTTGTTGGTGGCAAGTACCATCTATAAAACATTTTATATAGGGTTTTTTTATAAGAAGTTGACATTGTCAATTTATAATTTCTTTCCCACAAGTTTTGCCATTTTCTAATTCTATATTATATCCAACATTTTTGCCCATGTTATCATTGTTTAACTTGTTCATTTTCCATTTTCAAATTCAATAGAAAATTATAAATTTTCTTAATTAATTTCTCCTCAGAGGTTAATAATGTCTTATCAAACAAGGTTTGCTCCTTATAAAATCCGTACAGTTTAACATCTTTATCATATCTAACTTGCATCTGTAAGTATGTCCACCATGATAGATCAATGCCCTGATTTCTTTCTATATGTTAAATACAAGCAAAACGGTGATATAATTGTTCCGCTTCCCACTTTAAGGGAATCAGGCATGGATGTATTCTGGCCCCATTTATTATTTAACATTTACATTAATAACATTGTACAACTTTTGCCTTCTTCCACGTTCATTTATGGCTATGCCTATACAGGTAGTCTTCAACGTACAACAGATCATTTAATGACCATTTTTCAACAGCATTGAAAAAAAATCCAGATGCTTGGCAACACTCATATTTATGACTGTTGAAGTGTCCTGGGTTCATGTGATCACCTTTTGTGACCTTCTGACAAGCAAAGTCAAAGAGGAAGCCAAATTCACTTAACAACCATCTTTCTAACTTAACAACTTGTGTGGCAAGAAAGGTTGTAAAATGGCCAAAACTCACTTAACAAATGACTCACTTAGCAACAGAATTTTTGGACTCAATTATGGTCATAAGTCAAGGACTACCTGTATGCACTATATCAGGGGTAGGCAACCTCGGCTCTTTTATGACTCATGGACTTCAATTCCCAGAATTCCCGAGTCAGCACAGCACAGCTGACTCGGAAATTCTGGGCGTTGAAGTCCATGAGTCATAAAAGAGCTGAGGTTGCCTACCCCTGCACTATATTATAATGTCTTGAAGAAAAAGTTAGAAATCATTCCAGAACAGAGGGAACTGTTTTCTTCAAGTGCTGCATCACCAGTTTAGATAACTGAAAAATTAATGGAAACCAAATTGAATAGGTCATGTTTAAATGTCTTTAAATATCTAGGCATGTATTTCTTCCACTTTGTGAAATCACCAACTTCCAATCTCTCCATACAGACACAAAACATTAAAACGGATTTAAGTCTTTGCATCATGGCTTCACTACTAGAGCATTCAAAAGTAAGTCCAATTGATATTAATAGGGTTAAAATTCTGATAACTAGAGACAAGATTTCAGGTCTTATCGTCGGACTTCTGTGTGCTACACTTATCCATGTTATGTCCCTTATGTTAGCTGAACGTAGCAAAATGATATGAAGGTGTAATTTTCAAACTTGATCCTTGCTGTGTGGCCACGTGTCTTGCTTAAATTGTGCATTGTTCCTGTTATTTGTGCTTAAAAAAATGGCACCATCTCCAAACAAAAAAGCATATCTCACACTTAAAATGTAAGCAAACTATTATAACAACTTTTGCCTGTCTTACAGTTTAGAGACCAAGCACTGGGACATAGCAGATTCATGTAAAACCAAAACTATTTAATAACTGCTTTTATTGTACCATGTTATTTATGCATGCATAAAATAAAAATTGCAGTATTATATTCTGCCTTTCTTCTATATTTTTATCTCTCAACTTCAGTAATTTTTTTAAAAAACATAAAATCCAATTCTATTAAATGGACAAGAAAGAATACAACAAAATAAACAAGCACTGCAGAAAAAAAAACTGAGGAAGCCAGCTGTAGACATGAACTCTGGGAAACAAGGTTGCCTATAAATTCAAAGCATCATGTACTGCAGGGGTCCACAACCCGCGGGCCGTGGACCGGTACCGGGCTGTGGCATGCCAGCAACCAGCATGCCAGCATGCGGGTGTGTGCCAGCATGCCACACAAACAAGCAAAGCCCCATCTGAGGGATGTAGGCAGCACACAAAACCACACCCCGTCTGGTCTGTGGAAAAACCTCTCTCTGTATAACCGGTTCCTGGTGCCCAAAAAGTTGGGGACCTCTAATGTACTGTATAGACAACGAAGTCCATGGCCTATTGGCATAATTAATTGTAACTCTACATTTTCTCCGAAGAAGGCTCTAAAGGTAGTCCTCAGCTCATGACCACAATCGGGGCTAGAATTTCAGTCACTAAGTGATGTAGTTATTAAGCAAGTCACCATGTGACAGGATCTGACTTTATGACCATTTTACTGTGGTCATTAAGTGATTAACCATAATCATTAAGCAAATCTGGCTTCTCCAATTGACTTTGCTTGTCAGAAGTCAGCTGGAAGCTCATAAATCATGATCACGATTGCAAGATGCTGCAACCATTATAAATGGAAATACCCAAATTGCAATCACATGACTTCAGAAGCGATACAATATGTTTTATAAGTTCAAGGATGGGTCATAAGTCATTATTTTTGAGGCCACTATAACTGTGATCTGTCATTAAACAAACAGTCATAGGTCAAGGACTATCTGTAATTTTGGGAAAGGGGGAAGGAAAGAGAAGATGAATGGGACTGAACTGTCAGTATTCTGTCCTTGAACATATTCCAATCAATTACCATCCAGCTCAGGTTATTCTGTCACTAGCAGACTGTCAGTAGCAATGTACCACACAAATCTTTGCTTCCTTTCCTTGTAATCAGAAGTCATTCAGATCACATATGCATTCAGAAACATCAGGAGTCATCAGTCATTAAAAAGAAGGCTTTGCATAATAAAAGTCCAAAGTTCAATTTCAGTATCTCAATAACAGTCTAATAAAATCTCCTATCTGAAAAGCTAGCAACTTTGACAGCTGATATATACATGGTAAATAAGATAAGATCCATATTCTCCAGAAGGTGAGAATATGGTGATATTGGTAAAGGCAGGGCTTTTTTTGTCATAGAACGCCCAGAACGGAGTTCCGGCACCTTTTTGGGATGGAACCTTGTAGGGTAGGCAAGGCGGGTTATATGACATGTGTGAGTTCTGGCACCTTTTTTTTTTTTTTTTTTTTTACAAAAAAAGCACTGGGTAAAGGTAAAGGTCTCCCTATCCAGTCATGTCTGATTCTAGGGAGTGGCACTCATCTCCATTTCTTAGCTGAGGAAGTCAGTGTTGCCTGAAGATGTTTCTCTGGGCATGTAGCCAGCATGAGATCATGCTTCATTGCAGAGAGTATGGCGAAACACAAACACTGTTATCTTCCCACCGAAGTGGTACCTATTTACCTACTAGCATTTTCATGCTTTCAAACTGCTAGGTGGGCGGGATAAAAAATAAAGGCAGGATAAAAAATAAATAGAAAATGTATTTCTATTTAAGAAATAAACAGAAGGCCAGAAACCGGGACACTGTGAGTTCCAGTCCCTTCTTAGGGGTGTGTGTGACATGATAACAGTATTCCAGTATTTGAGAGGCTGCCACAAAGAAGAGGGGGTCAAATTATTCTCCAAAGCACCAGAGGGCAGGACAAGAAACAATGGATAGAAACTAATCAAGGAGAGAAGCAACCTGGAATTAAGGAGAGAGTTCCTAACAGTGAGGACAATTAATCAGTGGAATAGCTTGCCTCCAGAAATCGTGGGCGCTCCATCACTGGAGATTTTTAAAAAAGAGGCCAGACAGTCACTTGTCTGATACGATATAGGTTCTCCTGCTTGAGCAGGGGGCTGGACTAGAAGACCTCCAGGGTCCCTTCCAGCTCTATTCTATTCTATTCTATTCTATTCTATTCTATTCCAATTCATTAAGGCTGACTGGGTGTTTTGGGTCCTAGCTCTTTCATCAGAAAGGACTTTGATATTTTAAGTTTGAGATTATAACTGCATCATTTATCTCTATTAGATTGAATCAATGTTCACAGAATATACATTTCTGGCTGTCGGTTACTCATACTACAGAATGTTCCGAAAATCAGGAGGAATCTGATAGCAGCTTTTTCAACTAACATTTTATTAAAGGCATAAGTTTTTGTGAATAGCATCTTTTTTTTTAGATTTTTTTAAAATTCCCACCTTTATTATTTTTATAAATAACTCAAGGAGGCAAACTTACCTAACACTCCTTCCTCCTTCTATTTTCCCTGCAACAACAATCCTGTGAGGTGAGTTAGGCTGAGGGAGAGGGACTAGAAGATCGAGTTTCAAAAATTATTTACAATACTAAAATAGGAAGTGATGATTAAACTTACCATCCCTTGTTAGCAAAACTACTGGAACAACTATGGCTGTAATGATAACTCCAAGTGCAAGAAGACCTAATAAGCATTTCACTATAGTCTGGAAAGAAACAAATAAAGAAGTTAAATGTATATTAGAAACTGGGAAAGATTTTGACTAAACCTAAGGCTTATTTACTGCAACATCCTGTTTTCAACAATGATGCTTCGGAGAATTGCACTAGCGGAAATATTGATATCATGAGGAATGCTGCTACAGTGGTGATCCAAAAAAGCATACCTAGCTAGCATAGATAGCGGCCATTGATAAATGTTATCGTCCTTGAATTTAAGTAATTCCCTTCAAAAACTATCTGTAATTTACTTGTGCGCTTGTAGGAATGTTGTCCTTTAAACCAGAAGTCCCCAACCTTTGGGGCACCAGGGACTGGTTCCATGAAGAGAGGTTTTTCTGCGGACCAGAGAGGGCGTGGTTTTGTGTGCTGCCTCCATCTCACTGATGGGGATTGGCTTGTTTATGCGGCCCGGTGGCTGGCATGCCGCGGCCTGGTATTGGTCTACGGACCGGGGGTTGGGGACTCCTGTTTTAAATTAACCCAAATCTCTCTCCAATTATTTTTTACTGGAAAGCCCAGGATTGTAATGCTACTGATAGAAGTAAAAGAAAGGTCTTCAGAATTTAATATTGAAAGAGAAATTTAAAATTGAATTTGCTGCAGTGGAAATTTACTGAATGGAGAAAAAAAACCCTAATAATATATGGGAACCAGGAAAGGAGAGCATAAAGAAAGGAAGATAAACACATGGGCAAAAATAGCTGGGTCTTAGAGTGGGAAAAGAAAGAAGACAGACCATAAAAAAATAACTGTAAGAGGAAATGGCTAGCCAGGAAAGGCACGCTGAAAAACAGGAAAAGAACTTATTGTTCTAAAAAGGGGACATAAATACCTACAGAGTTTAAAATAACCATTTAAATGTCTAATTTTTCTTATTATTATTGTATATGTGAATATGATTTAATATGTTATCAGGAAATGTGCATAAGCGGACGGAAAGAGTGTAACCTCATAATACCTCAGCCAATGGGGAAAGAGGAGGGATGTAGCGGCCAGGGACAGGACTGCATAAAAGAAGGGAATATTTTGGGTTAAAACTTTGGAGAGAACCAAGCTTTGATAGCTTCTCTCCCCGCTTATTGCAATAAACGAAACAAAAGGCCTTCACTGCGTCTTGGCTGGTTATTGGTCAGGCAAGCTTGCCTCTGGTCATGAAGGAAAGTGGCCAGGAGCACATAACACTACAGTATGAAAGGTAGAGAAACCTTCCATATTACTAAAATTATGTAAATGCGCGAGACATAGGGAGGCCTGAGGAAAAATTTCTATATATTTTCTCCCAAGGCCTTCCCCTCCACAAAATGAAAAAAGTTATGAAACATTTTCAAATATGTTTCTTTAATTTTTTTATGCAATGATTATAATGTGGAGGTCTTTTTGGGGACGCACTATTTCTGGGTTTAACTAACTTAACATGTGAAAGAGTAGCAGAGCCTGCATCAAGACAAAACAGCTTTTAGAAGTCTAGTATACAATTAAAAATAAAGGATCAGAAAAAGTAGAAGTTGTTACTAAGTATACCACTTCATATTCAGAAAAAGGAAGCTGTGGCAAAATGAGGTTTTTTTGGGCTGTGCCTCTCTCATTTTCTAAAAAAATAATACTTTTGGTATATTGTTCAGAACGCACACTTTTCTTTTTCTACAACATTGGTTTCCTCTATTTTCATGTTTTTTCAGTTTGCCTTCTTTTTCTACAAAGGCATAAAAGAGATACAGTTCTAGATTTCTTAGAATATAGCACCTTTAATACCATTTGTAACAGACATTAAAAACTTTTTAAAGTAGATTCAAAGAATTAATTCACATTTATTGAGTAAATAAACCGTATTTTTCAATTTTACTGTATATGTACATCAAACATACTTTTATGAACAAACCAAACTATCTGTCATGCATTTCATATGTAACCAAATGAATTTATATTCATAAAGGGTGCTAAAACTAAATTCAATTTCTCTCCAAAATTTCATTTTCCCCTCCTGGAAAACAAAACAGTAGTTTTTCCTGATAGTTTCATTACATTCTGGGAATTTTATTTCTCTAATTCACATCCATGACATTATAAAATAGTAACCCTCATCCGCGCATGATACAAATAGGTTTCTTGTCTCTCAGTTGAGTTGTTTATTTTAATTTTATGTTAAAATATTATTTAAATTCACAGTACTAATTAGGTTTTATGCATTTGAAAAGCATCTGTGAATAAAAACTTCCTTCAATCATCCTACCAACCATTTTTGATAAAATTAGCCCTGAAGCCAGAATATTTAAAGGATAGATTGTTTTACCAATCATCAGGATTGTTCTCCAGTTATATTTATTGTTGTTATTATTAGTTCCTTTGAATCAGGTTCCTCTCCAGTGTACATGGACAAGTCCTTATTGTTTTTTGGGGCAGATTTTCAGCAGTGATTTGTCACTGCCTTCTTCAGGGGACTAAGATAAATGACTGATCAATGGTCATCCAGCTGGCTTCACGCCTAAGGCAGGTTTAAAACTCCTTAAAATTCCTTAACTACTGCCCCAAATTGGCCGCATTTAATTTACGACTAGCAGATTTTAGCTATTTGATTTCCCCCCCTTTGATTACTCATTTAATACAAACAACCTGCCATGTAGCATACTTATCAAATAGTAGGATTATAAAAATAAATTTATTTCTTTAAGGGGTGGTAAACAGTTACACATTTATTCTAGCAACTTGTCCACAAGGCATGTCATATTTTACATATAATCCTTTTACCTGGTAACGGGCCCATTCAATACTGCAGATC